CTCAAGTTCTTGCTTCCTTTGAAGATAATCATAGGAAAGCTTTTCATGAGTTGTTGAGAGCGTTTCATGACGACTTTCAAGCTCCTCATACTTAACATGAAGATTTTTTATGTCTTCAATTAAGGACTGGGATCGAGTCATTAGCGTCTAATAGGTCATCGCTTTTGTCTAACAGTTTTTGAATATGTTCCATAGCTTTTTGTTGTTCAGTTGCAATTTTAGCAAGTGTTTTGTAGCTGGGTTTGGAACCACAATCAGAGTCATCTTCACTTGATGTTTGATAGTGAGTGGTGTGTGAGTTTACGTACCTTGGCACCGCGTGCCATGAAGAAGTAGGTGGGAGCGGAGTTGTCCTTGTCATTAGCATTGGCGTTGGTGACGAAGTCATTGTCTTCAATGTTGAAGATGGACTTGGCAACGTAGGCTGTAGCCAGACTTGCAACGCCAGAATCGGACTCCTCCTCAGACTCCACCTCAGCCTTCTCAGAAGCAGACTCCTCCTCTGAATCCATTTCCTTGCCGACAAACGCACGGGCCTTGCTAGATGAGCTCTTCTTATGTGATGAAGACTTTGAGGAAGACTTGGAAGAAGGCTTTGAGTATTTATTATTTTTCTTGTCGTCAGAATCATATTCCTTGCTCTTCTTCTTCTTGTTCTCATTGTCCCACTGCGGACACTCAAAGATGTAGTGACCAGGTTTCTTGCACTTGTGGCATGTTCTCTTCTTATAGTCATGAGCAGAAGCTTCATCATTCCTTGAGCTGGATCGTGAGGACTTTCTGAAAACCTTTCTTCTTGGTGAATTTCTGGAACTTCTTCACAAGCATAGCAAGCTCCTTTCCAATTTCTTCAGGATCATCAGAACTGCAGTCAGATTCTTCTTCAGATGAGGAAACAGCTTTTGCCTTCAAAGCACGAGTTCGCCCATAGTTGGGACCGTAGATGTCTCATTTCTCGAAAAGCTGAAACTCATGTGTGTTGAGCCTTTCAAGTATGTCAGACGGATCGAGTGTCTTGAAGTCAGGGCGTTCTTGAATCATCAAGGCTAGGGTGTCAAACGAGCTGTCAAGTGATCTCAGGAGTGTCTTGACGACTTCATGCTTGGTGATCTTAGTAGCGCCGAGAGCTTGAAGCTCATTTGTGATGTCAGTGAGTCGATCAAACGTGAGCTGAACATTCTCATTGTCGTTTCTCTTGAAGCGGTTGAAGAGGTTGCGAAGGACACTAATTCTTTGATCTCTCTGGGTTGAGACGCCTTTGTTAACCTTGGAGAGCCAGTCCCAGACTAGCTTGGATGTTTCCAGAGCACCCACACGGCCATACTGTCCTTTGGTCAGATGACCACAGATGATATTCTTGGCAGTGGAATCCAGTTGAACGAACTTCTTGACATCAGCAGCGGTGACACCTTCACCAGCCTTGGGGACGCCATTCTTGACGACATACCAGAGGTCGACATCAATGGCTTCCAGATGCATGCACATCTTATTCTTCCAATAGGGATATTCAGTTCCATCGAAGACTGGGCACGCAGCGGAGACTTTGATTATCCCTGTAGTCGACATAGCTAAAACTCCAGGTGGTTAAACCGAATCACACAGAACAAGGGAGTACCTCGCTCTGATACCAATTGAAAGTGTTAGTGATCGACTAGAGGGGGGGTGAATAGGCGATTTTTATGAAAAATTTCATAACATGGAAGTTTCAAAGACAGACGATAGAAATGAACCTATTAACATGCAGCGGAAGGTAGACTACACTAGCTAAGCCATAGTCAAGTATTCAATGAAGTGAAAGCACAAAGACTAATAGCACCTAGACAGTATGGATCAAGATGGAAGATAGTATGAAGCAAATCAGAACAAGCAGTCACACAGTGAAGACAAATAGATAATGCAAACAGGTAATGACTTCACAGGGACCAATCTGCAAATAAAGAGATGGGAAGGATAGAACCAGTGGCTTGTTGAAGACAATGATTTGTTGGACCAGTTCCAGTTGCTGTGACAACTGTACGTCTGGTTAGGGAGGCTGAGATTCAACTCAGAAGACCGCGTCTTCACCTTATTCCCCTTGAACTAAGAACACCCAGTCCTCGCCCAATTACTCTGATAAGTCTTCAAGGTAGACTTCCAAACCTTCACAGACTTCGTTCACCGGCGATCCACAATGACTCTTGGATGCTCAGAATGTGACGCCTAACCGGCTGGAGGATTCACAGTCCTCAAGTGTAATAAGTCTTCAGATCACACAGACAGGAAGACTTCAGTGATGCCTAACACTCTTTGGCTCTGGGTGTTTAGGGCTTTGTCCTCGCAAAGGATTTCTCTCTCAAAGGCTTCGAGGTGGGTTGCTCTCAAATGACAAAAGTCGTGCACTAACTCTGAGCAGCCAACCAATTTATGGTGTAGGGGGTGGGCTATTTATAGCCACTAGGCAACCCGACCTGATTTGTCCGAAATGACACTGGGTCACTAAGGAACTGACACGTGTTCCAACGGTCAGATTTCAAACACACACGACAACTTTATTTGAGCTACAAGCAAAGCTGACTTATCCAGCTCTGGATAAGATTTGCTCTCATTCTCTTCGCTCGAAGACATAGGATTTTGGTTAAGCATCACTTCAGTCATTCTGACTGGTTCACTTAGACCCCACTTAACAGTACGGTGGTTCCTATGACTCAACAAAGAAGAAAACGAAACAACGAAACAACTAAGTCTTCGTGCTCCATAGTCTTCACACAATGTCTTCTTTGTCATAGACTTCAATGTGAATACCTTCACATACCACCTTTGTCTTCAATGTCTTCGTACATTTTTAGGGGTCATCTCCGGTAGGTAAACCGAATCAGTGAGGGACTACTACCTGTGTTATCCTGCAATTCTCACAAACACATTAGTCCCTCAACCAGGTTTGTCGTCAATACTCCAAAACCAACTAGGGGTGGCACTAGATGCACTTACAGTCGCTTACCCGTCGAGACTAGCCGTTGAGTATTGCCGGCAACGAGACTTGTGCACATTAGTGATCATACTTCCCATAGCATGCATACATCATTGTTGCATATCTCGATATCATCTCTTGTGTCACAAGGTTGTCATCGCATACACCATTGCTATCTTAATTCATGAAGCATTGCATGAGAAAAGAGCTCAAACAACAAAGAGCCACACAAGCTTTTAAGCAAAAGGAAAAGATACGCAAAGAGCTTTTAAGCAACAATCATAGCATCATACAACATTAAGATTGTCATACTAGATCATCTTGGATCATATCATAGAAACACCTTGCATAGAGCATACTTGGGATAGAAGTTGTTGCATTTTTGCTTAGTAGGTTGTGCACAAGTCTTTGTATCCGCCTATTGTGCAATCGTGCTAGCGTCTCTCTAGTGTTGTGCAACAAGAGCATTTTTGTGGATTCCATATTTTGGCTCACCCTTGGTTGCACGACCCTACTTATCCTTTTGCGTGTGTGTTTCCATGTACCTTACATTGCTTGGTCTACTTGTTGCATTGCGAACTTCCGAATCTTTTCCAACATTATTGAAGCTCATTTACAATTGCATCAAATTTCGTGCCATCATCCTAACCAAGCTCCACCATAAGTTTTTACTTGTGTAGGTGTGAGAAACCGACAAGAATTGGTACCAATTGTGCTATGCTATTTCCTTGTCCACATTGGAGTGATCATTGATCCACTTTCAACTTCGGTCAAGGTACATTTGGTATTCGTTCTTCTCTTTCTACCACTCACATTTTTTTTTTGGAATAATGGATAGGCCAAGTACTTCTACAAACCCATTCTTCATTGAGCACGACGACGATATGAACTCTTACGTCACCAAGAGCCACCTCTTTGGTGCATAACATGCTTTGCATCAAGAGCAACAAGCAATGAGTGAACGCATCGACAACCTCGCCGCCGACTTGCGACTCTCCGAGCAACGTACAAGGGACTACTTCGACCACAAGCTCGACGATCACAAGCAAGAGAACAACGCAAGAATGGATGAGATTCGTGCTTTGTTGCTCAACCGCTCTTCTTCCACTTCGTCCTCATCAAGGACCCGCTCAAATCGACACTCCGACTTCACCCTTTCCGGCTCAAGTACACCGACATCGAACACTCTTCACCGTACCACGCGCAATGATCGTCAAGCAAGCATCTATCCTCTACGCAACACCAACTCTCAAGAGCACCGACAACGTCAAACCAAGGGTGCACGGTCAAATTCTGAACAAGCTCGAAAGCTACTGACGATACATAGTAGGGACGGCATGTAAACTGAGAAGTCGGTCACCAGGTCGGCCTAAGGCACAACATGTCGAGGCATAGGCCGGGCAGCCCGGGCCGCTCTTCCCACGTGAAGCATGACTTCCAAAAAATCTATCATCTTTACATACTCCCTCCGTCCCAAAATTCTTGTCTTAGATTTGTCTAAATACGGATGTATCAAGTCATGTTTTAGTATTAGATACATCCATATCTAGACTAATGACCCTAAAGTCTCCTAAGGAGAACTCCAAAGCTCAAAATATATTCCATTCTTCACAAAATTTTGCACACATTTAAAAGACATAAACATGTTTTCTATAATAAAAAAAAGAACTAAATTTCATTTTAGTTCTGTTTTCTGAATTTACTATTCAACCATGAGCTGAATGCCTTCCCCCCAACAAATAACTGCAACACAAAGACCAAAAGCAGGCATGAAGAACCAAAGCAGACACAAAAATTGTGAGAAGGATACGAGGGTGAAACTTCAACCGTGTCAAACCCTACAAATTACTCGGAGTAGCAAACTTATAACAAGTTGCATGCACGATTAAATGTCCACTTTCTAGTTGTCGTCTTTCCTTTCAATTTAATCTCTCAGCTTTCATGAACTACACTTAAAGAAGCAAACCAGAAACAGTAAAACCGCAGAAAGCTCCTAAAAATTACAACAATATAGGAAGAAATGACACGCAAGAAATATTTCTGCAGCACCGACTTATTTTTCAGTCTTGCGCCTTTTCTTAGCAGCAGTTTCAAGATTCGGCATTTTCTTAGCAGCAGTTTCAACATTCGGCATTTTCTTATCAGCAGTTCCATTGTTCGGCCTTGCACCTTCCTTTCCAGAGCTGTGTCTCTGATCTTTGTCCTTGAGACGATTCTGCGACCTCTGTAAGAAACAACCAGTGCAAAGAATATCAGGATACTGGGTGCAAAAGCACCAAGCAACTTCAAGAACTAAGACGAATACAGGACAAACAAAATTGGACTATCGTGGTTTCTTAAAAAAATGAATATCAGATTTATCCATTCACCAAAAAAATCGAATTATTCTGTATCCATCACCTTACTGTAACCTCCATGATGACATGCTGCTGGAGATCATTTCAGCGCAGTCCAGTCTGCCTTTTAATATGGCGCCTAAAAGCCTTCGATGTGTATTGTGCCTAGATGCTAATACAACTATGGAGGATGTGATCCCATACCTTCTGTCTTCTCCGATTTTGTCGCTGCCTGCCTGAATCCTTCTTGGGCTTTTGTACTTGCTGAACATTTAGCAGGTATAAACAGATTAAATTCCATATGAAATACAAATCCAGATTTAGAAAACATTTCTGTCGCACGAAATCAGTAATTTCAACAACCAGTGCCAACACCTGAGCAAGAGCTATAGTTCGGGCATGTCGTTCAGCATGTGTCTCTGCCTCTTCCTCCAGCTCACCATCACTGTTGAGCACCATCTTAAGCCTACCTTCTCCCAGTAGTTTCTTTGATCGAGCATGTCTCTAAAATAGACAAAATAAAATGAAGAAATGTGGCAACAGTAGCATTCACAAGTGACAGCAAGTAACTCTTATCAATTTTCAACAAAGAGATGTAACTCCTGTCATTGTCTTATATGTACAACAGCAAGCCTTCTTCAGTTGACGTCTAACAGGTGGGAAACATTATAGTAGCTTTCTTCTGAATTACATACCTTTGATTCAAGATGTACCCTGACCATCTCCTCACTTAAGCACATGATTCTGGGACAAAGCTTGCACTTATACACAGATTTGCACTTCAGAATGTAGTTATTGAAATCGACCTCAACAGTGTCATCCTTGTTAACAGCACCTTCGGCAGAATCAGCATCACCACTTGATGCTTTCTTAGCAGGCAACCTGATTGCTTGGTATTGTTCATACACCAGACTGCTGTTCTCATCTGAAAGTAAACCTGTAGTTAGTCGGTAAAGTTGCTTGCAGAGAGTTCGGTCATGTGATAAATTACTCAATAAAGCGACTTATGCTCATATTGAAACATTACATGGTATGTTTAGGTAATGATACTTAACATTCTGGTTGTCTAACTCTATGTTCAATCCTCCAATACCCCACCACAGTATACTGAGATCAAATTCCACACCCTGCGGTCATTGACTAGTAAACTTAGATCCCATTGGTAACATCCTAAGGTAACACAGAGCAGTTCTTAGTTGCCAAACAATAAGGTGAAGGCGGTATAGGAAGACAATTGCACTTCTCTTAGCATGAATGTAGTCCTGTGAGATGACATTAAAAGGCTAGTGTTCCTATGTACGAAAAATACAAACAAAAGGTCCCTCAAGCCTCAATGACACTAAACAAGCCGGTGAAACATCTGGAAAGGCAAGAAAAAGGTATGTAATCACAGACAGTATTAGCCACTTCACTACAAGAGAGAGCGTAATTTAGCCCAAATGACAGCTTTCTTTGAACCTCCTTTCCATTAAAAAATGCAATCTCTCCTAATCCAAATTGAAGGGGGCATGGAAGCGAGAACAAAGAATACCTGCACAAGGACTATCAACATGATGTCCAGAGCTGTCCTCACTTTGGTATCCTGAACCTGATAGACAGGAGCAACCAATGAGAAAAAGAGCACATTACAATATCTGCACATTAATGTATTATAGTGATTCGTGGACCATCAAAACCAACAACATGCAGCAGATATACCATGCAAGAATATTAAATAAATACCGAGGCTTTGGCAGGACAGAGCAAATTAACAAGAGCAAATGATGATTACTCTACTCCGATGGTTTTAATATGACATCACCCTCTAAGAGTTGCATACTCAGTATATGAAGCAATAGTACAGGTCGAATATATCCATGGAATCAAAGTGAGCATATTCACTAGTACAAACAAATCGGCTACGCATGACGCATGACACATGGAGAATGACCTGAACAGCGCATGTAAATGGCACCAATAATATAGATAGTGGTAACAAAGAACAGCTCACCCTCATCTTCGGCCTGCTCATCTACTTCCTTTTCCTGTTCTTCCCCCGACTCCACCTCCGCTTCTTCATCATCATCTTCTTCTTCTTTTTCTTGCTCCCCTTCTACTTCCTCCTCCGAGACCTCTTCTTCCGCGGGGTCGCGGTCCGAATCAGAACCCGAAGAGGAGGAGGACGAGGAGGCGCTATTGTCGCCGTGGTCTTGCCTGAAGTAGCGCCTCTTGATCATCTCGCCCGATTCCGCCGCCGCCGCCGCCTGTTCTGTCGGGTGAGGTGGTTTTGGGGGTTATGCTGGACGAAGCAGAAGACAGCGTAGGAGGAGGCAGGGCTGTGTAGGCGCGCAGAGAAGCCCAGGCCGTTCGATCTAGGTCATACCCCAGTTCCTTTTTTTTTTTTGAGGGATCCAGTTCCTCTTCTTTTTATTCCGTGCGTTGGGGCTCAACAGCTCGCCCGCTGGACCGCCTTTCCTTTTGCCCGTTGGGTTTTCTTTCCGGTTTTTCTTTTGAGGGCTGGTTTTCTTTGCGGTTTGGTTTTTTTAGACAACCTCACGAAATTTTTATTAATTCGTCACAATATTTACAGGGATGGATGAAAGTTCTTCAGGGTTTCCCAACCACACATGGCAGCCACCCCCGAGAGATAAAGCATGCTTCGCTAAGTTGTGAGTTTCAAAATTTGAGCTCCTAAATTTATGGCTAAATTTACAAAAAAACAAAATCTGACGAGTGGCGTATTATTTCATGTATGATAGCTCCATAGGCAGATAAGTTTTCCTTTTTCAAGTCGTTCACCACCACTTTGCAATCAGAGGCAACATGAATCCGCCGCTGATAAAGATCATCCGATAGTGCCAAGGCCTCTCTGGTTGCAATTGCTTCGAGAGTCTGTGGATCTGTGATATACCTGAAGACAAGCACCGATGCTCCCAAGAAAATCCCTTCAGAGCTTCTGCAGATCAACCCGACCGCACCACACCCGGCGTGTCACGGGGCTGCAGCATCCATATTTATCTTCACACAACCCGCTTGCGGTGCCATCCACTAGTTCGGTCTACACATTACAGCGCCAACATGTTTTATAGCTTTTGTTGTTGACAACCTAAAGCTCGGCAAGATAGTTTGTTATGAAACCGTGGACAGAATGATGTGATTGATAAATGTCTTTATAGATGGCTTTTCTTCCAGCTTCCCAGATCGCCCAAATGGTAACAATCAAGCGTATAAAGGCTTCACTCTCCAAATTTGCATGAAGTGCAAAAATCCAATCCTTTGAACTGTCCTCCTGCCTATCCAGGAGATGATGTACTAGCTCCTCAGGTGCTAAGGCCCATACACTGCTAGACATCGGGCACGTAAGCAATGCATGCCTCCAAGTATCCATAGCCCCACACAGATGACATGTATCCTCAGTAGCTATGTTTCGATGCCTGAAAAGTTCACTGGTGGGAATAGACTGTCTCGCCAGACGCCATACAAACATTCGCAGCTTTGAGGGGACCCGGATATGCCATATCTTGCTCCACTGATTACTCTCATTGTGGACAGTAGATGATCCCTCCTCTTCATTCAGCCAGTCCTCCCGGTTGTGCTTTGTTCGCAATATCATATGGTATGCCGATCGTACACTGAAAACACCTCGAACTTTTGCATGCCACGCCCAAAAATCATCCATCTTACGCGTACACAGTGGTATTTTGAGTATCTCTGCTGCATCAAACTGGGTAAAGGTCGCTCGGACTAGACCTTCATTCCATGATGCCATTGTAGCGTCGATGAGTTGGGCAACCTTTAGAGGCGGGTTCTGTACCAGGAAGTTAATTGGCCTTTTAAAGCTATCCCTCGGGATACAGTTCTGGCTCCATATATCAGTGGTCTCACCATCTCCAATTATGTGAACAATTCCTTGCGCCAAAATATCTCGACCATCTAGGATCGCCCGACAGATTTGGGATGGGCGCGACCCCAATTCTGCCTCTAGCAGTGAACAGTTTGGATAGTAAACTGATTTAAGTATCCTGGCACTCAACGATGTCTCTTCTGTCAAGAGCCTCCAAGCTTGACGAACAAGGAGCGATAAATTGAAAATCTCTAGATCTCAGAAGCTCAAGCCTCCCAAATGTTTTGGTCTGGTCATGACATCCCATGCCACCCAGTTAGGCTTCCTTCTTCCCTGCTTGCTGCCCCACCAGAATTGTCGTATGATTGAAGTTATGTTCTCACACAATCCTCTTGGCAATCTGAAACACGCCATGGAGTAGACCGAAATCGCTTGTGCAACTGATTTGATCAACACCTCTTTACCCGCTGACGACAAGAGCTTCTCCATCCACCCTTTTATCTTTTCCAAACATGATCTCGTAGATATCTGAAAGTGCCATTCTTTGAGTGGCCCACTTCCGTGGGCATGCCGAGATAATGGTCACTCAATGATTCCTTGTGGACTTGTAAGGTGTTCTTGACCGCCACTCTTGTACTTTCTGGACACACTTTACGAAAAAATATTGAGGACTTCTCATGATTAATTTTCTGTCCCGATGCCCGATAATAAATATCAAGTAGGTTTGACACCTCAACTGATCCCTCTACACTGGCCTTGAAAAGCAACAGGCTGTCATCTGCAAACAACAGGTGGTTAACGGCGGGAGCCGTCGGGGCCACCTTGATACCTGCAACCGATGATTGAGAACTAGATTTAAGGAGGCACGAAAGGCCCTCTGCTACAATCAAGAATAAGTAGGGGGAGACAGGGTCTCCTTGCCGGATACCTCTTGTTGGTTTGAAAGATTCAAGCCTCTCACCATTTAATAGAACCGAGAAAGATACTGTTGAAACCATGCCCATCACAATATCTATCCACTGATCTACAAAACCGAGCTTTGCTATGATGGCTCTTAAATATGACCATTCCAACCTGTCGTCAGCCTTCATCATGTCCAACTTCAACGCACAGAAAGAATTTGATTTTGAACTGGACCGTTTCATGAAGTGCAAACACTCATAAGCGCAAATGATGTTATCTGTTATCAACCTTCCTGGAACAAAAGCAGATTGTTCCTCCGAGATGATGTCAGGCAAGATAAGTTTTCGTCTGTTTGCTACCACCTTGGAGGCTATCTTGTAGAGGACATTGCATAAACTAATAGGCCTAAACTGGGATAGAACTGTGGGGTTTGTTACCTTCGGGATCAATACTAAGACCGTGTCGTTGATACATTCTGGGCTTTCCTCTCCACGCACTATCCTCAAAATAATCTTGGTGACCTCCTCTCCACATATGTCCCAATGGCGCTGATAAAAGTGAGCAGGAAAACCGTCTGGTCCCGGTGATTTGGTTGGAAACATCTGGAAAAGAGCCACTTTAACCTCCTCATTGGTGTATGGTGCACAAAGAACTGTGTTCATCTCCGGTGTCACCTTTCGAGGTACATGTTCTAGGGCAGCTTCCATATTCTATACACCCTCCGAGCAGTATAATTCTTGATAAAAATCATTGGCCATCGCCTTCAACTCTGCTGGATCCACCACCACCGCACCAAGGGAATTTTGTAGGGCCTTTATCATGTTTTTCTTTCTGTGGAGACTAGCACGGAGATGAAAAAACTTGGTGTTCCTATCTCCCACAGAAAGCCATTCGATCTGGGCCCTCTGGTACCACATGATTTCTTCCCTATGGTACATCTCGATCAGACGTTCGTTCGCCTTTAGCTCCACATGAGATGGTCCCGTCCTAGCCGGGTCATTCCTGAGTTCTTCCAAAATTTGCTTCAACTGCTTTATTTCCTTTCGTACACTTCCAAAGGTGTCTCTGCTCCACGTGTCTAGGCCTTTCGAAAGATTGCTTAACTTTTGTTTCATATCTTCCACAGACGTGCATGGTGGGTCGGTGGCCCATTCACTAGTAAGCAGGTCCCGTAGTCCTTCATGTGATTCCCACATTAGCTCGTATTTAAAAGATCGTTGTACATGCACCTTCTCTGAACAACCAAAGTCAATCATCAATGGCGAATGATTCGATGTAGACCCCGTGAGATGTGAGACCGAGACCACTGGAAATTTAGCCATCCACCCTGCGTTAACCAAGGCTCTGTCCAGTCTACATCTAGTGTAGCTACCCCCCCCCCCAAAACCTTCTTCTTGAAAGTCCAAAAATTGCCTCTGAAGCCCAAATCAAGCAACCTGCTAATATCTGTGGTGTCCCTAAATGCTTGGATCTGAGCATTGCTACGTTGTCCTAGTTCCTCATTCTCTTCCGGACGTAGAACCTCATTGAAATCCCCCATACACAGCCATGGCAGAGAGTTCAAAGTGCTAATGTTTTTCAAAACTGTCCACGTCTGATGTCTCAAGTGTGTTTGTGCCTCACCATACACACATGTCAAACTCCACTTTTCCTGGTTATGTTCCACCACCGAAACATCAAGATGATAACATAAGTAACCGAGAATCTCAATTTTTATTGAATTATTCCAAAACAAACCCATACCACCACTCCGACCTTGACTACTAACGGCATAAGAATTATCAAAACCCAAAGTATTAGCTAAAGCTTCTACCCTAGTACCTTCTATCTGTGTTTCAACTATGCATAGTAGGCTAGGGAAAAAAATTCGCGAAGTCGCAAAGCTCTCAGACTATCATGGCTTTGCCCGCACCACGACAGCACCAATAGAAGGCACTCATTGGGCTCGGCGGCACCCGTCGACTGGGCCCACCAGCTTTGGTTCACCTTTCACTTGTGCACTGATTTTAGCCGAGTTGTTCTTCTCTGGTTACACTATCACCTTCACCCTCTTTGGGTCATGTTTTCCACTTGGACTAAGAGGCACTATAGGAGGGGGCAGCGCCAACAGATTGGGAGAAATTGTACTCGCTGATAATGCAGTCTGACTTGCAACCAATTCTGAAGCTCTCTTTCTGTTATTATCTACATCATGCGTATCTGAATCATAGTCTGTTCCTCGTTCCTCATCATCCTCATAGGCATCTTGCTGCGATCTGTTGTATGCACCCCTTCCTCGACCCCCGGTGCAACCTCCTCGGTGTCCGCCTCTGCGCCCGCGCCCGTTGCCCGGTCCACGCCCGGTCCTCATAGCCCAAGTTGCTCTCAGATCTTTAAAAACCAGAGCCGACGGGGGATGAATACCATTATCGTGCTCCTTAAATAGGTGGCCCAGCATGCCACAAACAACACACCAATCAGGTAGTTTCTCAAATTTGACTCGGTAGATCT